TTATTCTATCTGTTGGTTAAATGCTGTCGTTCTCCAGGATTCCTTTCCTGGCCCATTGCTTTAGCTAATTCCCCAGATACTGGTAGATCTTCCAAATCTCTCCTGAGTCCTGGGCCCATGTGTCTAATAACCTATTGAATATATCTAACCAAAATATCCCATCAGCCTTTCCTTAATATCTTTCTTATCTTAATCTCAACCTCATTTACCCATTTCCTTGGTTCAAATTCTCATTATCATTTACCAGCATTATTACAGTTTATGCCTCAGTGAAAACAGAAATGTGGACCATATTAAATTACAGTTGTTTAATTGCACATATGTCTTTTTTTCCCCAGTACAACTTGGTCACATTGTGTATAGGACTGACTTTCCCCTCCCACCAACCAAACACATACCCATACATACACACACTTCAAATATCTCTCATCCTAAAACCTTATAGAGTGTCTGGCTCACAGTAGAAACCCAATAAATGTTTATTGAGTTCATCCTAAACAATAAAGGAACTTAAAAGTTAACACATTATATTGAGTTCACCAAAGGCAAAGACAGTTTCTTATTATTTTCTGAGTGTCTGACAGGAGCATAGTGGTCAATAAATATTTGCTCAATTTAGCTGACAGACTCTAACAGTAGTACTACTTTTATGGCTTCAAAACCTTAGGGTGATTATTCTGGAAGATGTAAAATGGCTTACTCATGGGGCAAGCAGGAGTAGGCTCTTGCTACACAGTCCAGGCAAGAATTAACAGAACCCTGAGTAACAAAATGAATGGGAGAGATACTGCAGAACATAACCCGAATGTGGCAGCAGATAGAAATGGGGGGGAGAAGAGAAGGAGTCAAGTCTTATTTTTTAAAATGGAACTAAAGCTAGTAAATAAATAACTCACACATTTCCCTATATACTTAAGATCAGAGAAGTAGATTATGAAGATCAGAGAAGTAAATAGTGAAAACATGTATTTTCTGATAGTTCCTCCTTGGATGCCCCTCCCTTCAATTTTTCCTCTCATAATTCCTCTCCCTTTACCTAGCCAGCTTCCACTCATCCTTGCAATTCAACCCAGGCACTGTTTTTTTTTCCAAGGAACATTTCATGATCTTACTTGGAGCAAAGTGCCCCTAGTACCCCCAGTGTGCTCCTGCTTTATCTTAGCTTTTTCATGGCACGTTGAGTGTACCTTTATGGCTCTGCAGCCCCCATTAAACCCTGAGCTCCCTGAGGGCACAGACCACATTCCTTACCTGTTTCTAGCACTGGCACAGGCCCTGTTACATACATGTGTTTTATTTATTTATTTATTTATTTATTTATTTTGCGGTACGCGGGCCTCTCACTGTTGTGGCCTCTCCCGTTGCGGAGCACAGGCTCCGGACGCGCAGGCTCAGCGGCCATGGCTCACGGGCCCAGCCGCTCCGCGGCATGTGGGATCTTCCTGGACCGGGGCACGAACCCGCATCCCCTGCATCGGCAGGCGGACTCTCAACCACTGCGCCACCAGGGAAGCCCACATACATGTTTTTTTTTTTTTTTGCGGTATGTGGGCCTCTCACTGTTGTGGCCTCTCCCGTTGCGGAGCACAGGCTCCGGACGCGCAGGCTCAGCGGCCATGGCTCACGGGCCCAGCCGCTCCGCGGCATGTGGGATCTTCCTGGACCGGGGCACGAACCCGCATCCCCTGCATCGGCAGGCGGACTCTCAACCACTGCGCCACCAGGGAAGCCCCACATACATGTTTTTTAATAAAAAATTCTAGAGCTTAAAATCAGTTAAAAATACAAATACATGATATATGAGAATAGCCTTCTTTTGTTATTTGTTAATAATGGAAGCCTTAAAAGGGTATGAAATTGTGCCTAGATTTCATTAATTTTATGTTCCTATTTCGGAAGTCAACGAAATACCAGCTTTTTATTGCACGTGGTCCTCTAACAGATCCGAGAAACAAGAATTCATTTTCCCAGGACTGTTCTGAAAAGTTTTCTGAAGAGAAGTATATACAGGTTGCCCTATGTCATGATAATCTTGACTGTGGAGGTAGAAAAACTGAAGACAATTTGATTTTCTTTTGAGGGGGGAAAAAAGCAGTTACCTGAACATACATTTCTTTTTATACTCCAAACTCTTTTTGTTGCCTTTGAGAGCTGAGAAAATTACACTTTGAGAATTGGGCTTTAGAATGCTGTGTAAAGGGTCATATCATGAGAAGAGAACATGTAACTGGAAAACAAATTTCTGACTTATTGAGTAAGATAGTTTCCTAAAGGACATTTTAAAAGTTCCCTTAACCAAGGAAAACAAAAAAGTAGTTGTAGTTTTATTCTTGGCTTTCAACATGGAAAGGTCTTTGTTCCATTTTACCAGTTGTTTTTTTGGTACCCCAAGGATATAGCTTTGAATTCTTAGGTTGTTTGATGGAAGATTAAAGTTAGGCACCTGTTCCTCTTTAATTACCTTGTTAATATAATTAACGAGGTATTTTACACAGCTGTTAATTCTCTGTCATCATAAAAGAGGAATTTAGTCTTAACTTTAATTTTCTAGGAATGCTGTAGAATCCAGAGAAAAGACTTGGTTACCTAAGTTTAAAGAGCAGTGTTGGGTAGAGAGTGATAGAAGATAAAGTTGCACATCATGAATAACCTCTTATTATCAGATAAGGGTGATTCATACCCTTTTGTAGCATGCTTGGATTTGATTTAGATAAAATGAGTTATGCTACTGGGTCATTTTTTAAAACCATTCTAAATAGGCATTGTGGAAGATGAGAAGAAAACCAGTCATTGAAGTCACCCAGGATGATGGCAAGACCTGGAGACAAAGATAAAGCCAAGTGTAGAAGTTTCCATGAATGTAAAGAACTGAACAGAATACTGTCAGATAACCAGTGGGGCAAATGAAGGAGTTTAGTCTGGCAAACTGTTGGTGAGGCAGGTGAATTCTGACCTTATCGCTCAACTCTGAGGCAGGATATGGAAATAATAAGCAGTCTTCACTTAAGAGGAATGGCGGGCAGTGGTGTCTTTGTGGGAAACCAGGTTTCAGTTAAGTAAGGATATAAGGAATACATTAAATGAAAAGGTTTTTACCATGTTATGGGGTCTAAAAAATTAAACATCAGTTAATTTTTTCAAAGCCTTTTGCTATAACTCTTAAAATACTATTTTCCCTTTTACTGTACCTCCCTCTTTGAGATTGATTTATTCATTTTAGAAATATCAATTAGCCCTTATTATCTGCCAGGCATGGTGCTGGATATCAAGGTGTACAGTGATGAGTATATAAGTTCTTGAAATATGGATAGGATATTAGTAATCATGTTAGGTATATATTAGCATTGTGTGGAGTATTTGGGAAGAGGTGGGTTTTTTAGGGCAGTTTTAGAGCTTTTGCAAGCAGAACTTAGCCTGTTCATTAAACTAAAGAAAGAAGAAAATTGGTCCAGATAGCAATCTCTTCTGCAGATGTCAGAAATTTCCTGTCATAGCCTCCCATTATAATAGGATATTAAAGCATGATGAGATCCTGACAGTGGCAAAGGAGTTCTCAACTTTTAGATCATTTTATTTGGGACCTAAGATAATACATCCATATTTACCTTTTTTGTTCAGTAGTTATTTATTCACTTACTTGGCATATTTTTACCCAAGTGTGGCTGTACTATACTCCATGCTAAGAATATAACAGAAGACAAGATAGATGGAGTCCTTGGTCTTATGGAGTTCATATTCCATAAAAATAGTCGTTTTTGAGAACTTACTTAGTGCCAGGCACTGTGCTAGGTACTTACATATATATCCCTCCGATAGCCCTGCTAGGTACAGGATAATAGCTAGTTTTATAAATGAGGAAATTGAGACTCAGTGAGGTTGGAATTAGCCAACCTCAGCTTTCCCGGGGGACCACTCGTGTGAAGCACACACAGCATACCAAGCCATCCTGCTGCTTTCCAACGTATGCTGAAAACTAACACAAAAACTCCAGCAGGAAAATGAGTAAAGGAAAAGAATAATTTACATTAAAAAATTAAAATAGCTAATAAAAATGTTCAATTTCACTTTCAAACAAAGAAATGAAAATAAAAATAATGAGAGACCGTAATCACCTATAAGTAAAGCGTGTTTTTTGATGTAATATTCACTGAATGAGTGAAGTGGTCTCTCAAGTTCTGCCCTTAGAAGCATATTTTTTGAATACCCATTCTGGAAAACAGGTAGTACTTATCAAGAGCCTTAAATATTTATAACCTTTAACCATGCAGTTACATTTCTAGGTATCTATCCTAAATAGCTAGAAACTCAGATCACATTATTTCCAAAATGTTTATCACATTGTTGTTTGTATTGGGAAAATTTGAAAGTAAATTAAGGCCAATCTAAGTGGCATAATGTTATACTACCATTAAAAAGTATTATTTTGTAGTTCATTTAATGATATGGAAAGTGTTTTCAATAAATATTAACTTTGAAAAAACAATGTAAAACTTTATATGTAATATCACAATTGTATAAAAGACAGTAGGTATATGTATACATGTACAGATGTATTAATTCAGAATACACTAATAAACTGGAAGGAATAAAAATATGAGAGTCATTATTTTTAGGTAGTTATATAAAGGTGATCTGTACTTCTAACTTCACATATTTTGCAAATTCTCTAAAATGAGCCTCTATTACATTTATGATTCTTTTGAAAGAATATATATTTTCTGTTTTTTAATCTTTGTCTGATTCCTGTATCTGGAATAGAAATTAAGGTAGGTTATCAAGAGGTGATTCCAAACCAGTTTTCAGGACTGTTCTTAAAGAACTGAAACATTTCTTTTCCTAAGTAAAAAATCATAAAAGCAAGAAGCACGTTATTTCTGTGATTTATTCTATATCTTGAGGTTAATATGAGACATCAGGTTTATGTAATTTATAAATTCTAGGTGTATTTCATTTTGTTTCACAACACACAGATATAACAATAATACTTTATTTCTTTACAGGTTTTACAACTGCCTACAACATGCTTTGGAAAAAGAAACTATTTCTATGACCTCATATCCCAAAGAGAAAATCAAAGAGAAAAAGAACTCATCATATACTCACAAGAAAAAAAGAAACCCAGAAAAAGCATGTGGCAAATATATTACTGACGAAAATAATAAAGAACTTGAAAATGATGATCGTGATGATCCAGGAATCAGTGTTACTCTCTTCCCTGAAGATTACTGAGATTTGGTTCTGAAGTGTCTTGGTAGAATAATGTTTCTAATAGATATTATAAAGCTGCTCTTTATAGGAGTATTTTAGTTTGTTGAGTGTATCAGCCTTTCAGAAAAACAAGATTTAATTTTTCTCTATATTTTAGGGAAACCCTTAGCTTTTAAAAATAGCTGTGTATAATATCAGTACTTGCTCTTAAATACCATCATTTTTAGTCACACAGTCATTGAAAAAATAAAATTATGATTTTTAATGCTTCTTCTTAAGTTTCAGTTTCTACTTCTATAAAACAGAAGAACTATAATACTCTTTCAAGAGAGCCTTAACATTAGGAATATTAGAGTAAAAATCATAACATTTTACTTATTTTTAACTTTGAAATCTCCAGCCTTCAAGGGGGTCACTTTGCTGCTTGTTGCCATGGAGTCCAAGGACAAGTTTTTTCCTCTCTTTAGCCATTGTGGATAAAACAACTGATATCCTTTTTGTTCAGGATGAAATATTATACTTGAACCCTCTTTCCCCATTACTTCTCATAAACCAGAGCTTGCCACTGGCACATCCTCCATGAAGCAGGTGGGCATAGTTTTTCACTACGCCTGGTCAGAAATGATAACTTATGACACAGGAATCTCAATAGAACAAATGTGCTATGAGAAATTGCAAAGAATCAGAAGCCTCAGGTTTGAGTTCTGACTGCTACAGAGAAGTTGGTGGTCCTTAAGCGAATCACTTAATTTCCAAGGGCTTCCATTTCCTTTTCTGCATAATAGTAATTCTGATCCCTCCCATATTTACACCAGAGGAGTGTTGACAGGATCAAGTTAAATAAAAATGTGAAAGCACTTAATAGACCATTTTGCGTATATGTTATTATTTACTTTGCTATTTATTTTCATTATAAATTGAAGATTTTTCACAATATATTTTCAGAATATCAAATCATAGAAAGTATACATTTAAAGAGAAATTTCTAGTTAGTCATAGAACTAATAAATTGACAGACAAAAACACCAGAACATCAAGTAAGAAAAATTATATGAGGCAGTCAACATTGAGTTGTGATTTTGGCATTTCCTAATATTTTTATAATTTGCTTAATTGCTTATATAAATTATTTTTAGATTTGTATCCCAAATGCTTATCTTCTGACAGACACCATTTCATACTCTCATTTTTTAAAGTCAATTGATTTTATAGCTATCTGTTGTCCTCTAAGCAAATTTATCAGGGATAGGGTCCAGGAAGCTCCAAAATTACTGTGAGATTTTTCTTTACTTCTTTTTTCTTTTTTTAAACTATTATTATTTTTTAAAATTTTATTGAAGTATAATTGATTTACAATGTGTTAATTTCTGCCATACAGCAAAGTGATTCAGTTATACATATGTATATATTCTTTTTCATATTCCTTTTCCATTATGATTTTATCACAGGATATTGAATATAGTTCCCCATGCTATACAGTAGGACCTTGTTTATCCATTCTGTATATAATAGTTTGCCTCTGCTAATCCCAAACTCCCAATCCTTCTCTCCTCTGCTCCCCTCCCCCTTGACAACCACAAATCTGTTCTCTATGTCTGTGAGTCTATTTCTGTTCCATAGAAAAGTTCATTTGTGTCATATTTTAGATTCCACCTATAAGTGATATATGTTATTTGTCTTTCTGACTTCACTTAGTATGATAATCTCTAGGTCCATCCATGTTGCTGCAAATGGCATTATTTCATTCTTTTTATGGCTGAGTAATATTCCATCATGTATATGTACCACATCTTTATCCATTCATCTGTCGATGGACATTTAGGTTTTTCCATGTCTTGGCTACTATAAGTGCTGTTATGAACATAGGGGTGCATGTATGTTTTCGAATTATAGTTTTGTCTGGATATATGCCCAGGTTTACTCCTTTTTTCTATCATGGCTCTGAACTCTCTCTTTGGCCTTTAAAGTAAGATACTAATATTTCCCTTAGTCATTTTGAGTCCTCCATCTTCTTGCCATCCTGCAACATTTGGCCCCGTTAACGCTCTTAGACCCCTGAATCTGCCCTTTCATCAGCATCCTGAATGCTTTCTTCTCAATCATTTCCCTGTTTATAGTGAATCATCATTTATTTTTCTCTCCCACACTTTAATATTTTTCAACATTTATTGCACCTTAGAATCATCTTTAGAACCTTGAAAAAAATGCAGAAAAGACCTGAGAATCTCCAGGGATAAGCATGTTTATTTTTTCTTTTAAAGCTCCCAAGTCGTTCTCTAATTGGAAACTAAAGGGTAATAACGTTGTAGGCATTCCCAAGTTTCTGTCTTTGGCCTTCATCTTGCATTCCTGTCTGCACCCCAGCTAACTCATCCATCCCAGTAGCCTTCACCTCTGAGACAGTGACTCCCGCCTCTCCTGTTCTGGTCTGTCTCCTATGCTCTGACTAACCGCTGGGCCTCTCCAGAAGCGCTGTTACTTTTCAAAAGTGTTCTCTTGTTTGACTGTTTCCTGGTTCTTTGGCTAGAGAAAGCAAACTTTTGTTGGGGCTTTTTTTTTTTTTTTTTTTTTTTTTGTCTGAGCCCATTGACATTTCCGGGTTGCTGGCTTTTCCAATGCCCAGTCTGGGATATGTGAGGTAAAAAGAAAACCCAGGGAACTCACAATTACGTTGTTCTTTAGGTCCCCAAATCCCTAGCTGGTCTACCTTTCCCTTGTCATCTCTCAGAGTCTTATTATGTTTGTTCTATACATAGTGTCCAGAGTTTTTATTTTTATTTTTGGCTGTGCTGTGTGGCTTGCAGGGTCTTAGTTCCCCAACCAGGGACTGAACCCAGGCCCCAGCAGTGAAAGTGCCAGGTCCTAACCACTGGACTGCCAGGGAATTCCCTGTCCAGAGGTTTTAGTTGCACTTAGTGAAAGGAATAGGAAAAAGTATATCTACTCCATCTTCCAGAATCAGAAGTCTAATATATTTTTTAAATTAATAATATTATCACATCATGGGGTATTGTTGAAGATACCTCTGGAACCCATCCAGATTGCCCAGCTCCCTCTACTTAGTGCTGTGCCCCATCTCCCAGTTTGTATGCTTGGCTGTTCTTGCTTTAGGCTGCTGGAGCATCTTCATTCTAAAATAGAGGAGAAAAAGCCTGGGAGTCTGTTTCCTGCCCTCTACCCACCCCCAACCACACACACACCCACTGTCTCACAGCCAATAATGACAAGTGCAGAGTTTCAAAACAGTTCTGTTGCCCAGAAATGGGATAAACTTGGATGTGCAATTGCCATTTAAGCTCCCAGCAGCATCAGGCTAAGGCTGAGACGTCACCTTAATCCTATCATGTTTTTCCCACTCCCTTCCCCATTTCTTCTGGGAGCTCCTGCTTAATAAATCACTTGCACTAGAATGGTGTCTTCTTTTACAGGAACCTGACCTAAAGTACTGAGATTATTCTGTCTATATTTGAGAAAGTGATGGCATACGTTTATTATAAAGAGCTGATGTTTTAATGTGCTACAAATTATATCATTGGTAGTGATTTAAACTTATGAGGCAAATAAATTTTTATATTAAGTACAGAGTTTTAAAAATTCTTTTGGGGGAAGTATCTAAACAACAATATTTGAGGATCACTTCTACAATACATACTGTTATAAGAACTTGGCAGGAATAATTGATTCTAGGCAAGGGAGTACTACCATCACAATTCAAGGGGATACCGACATGTCATTTAGGTTTTAAAGGCCAAGAAACAAGTTCACTTGACAGAAAAATCCAAGCAAAACTCTTGTAGACAGAGGAATGTGTAATATGAGGCACCAAAGAACATGATGTATTCAGTGATGGTGAATCTTCCATTAAAGCTGAAATACAACATGTGGTATGAAATGAGTCAAGCTGGTTGAAGCACAACTGTGAAGGGCCTTGTGGTCCAGCATGGAGGTAGACCAGTGTTTCCTAAACAGGGCTGTTCAGCAGAATTCCCTGGTGGGAATGGGACTGGGCATGCCAGGCTGCTTTCTAAAACGCTGAATCCCAGGCCCTACTCTAGACCTCTCAAGCCAGAATCTTCAATCTAGAGTCTTGGAATCTTTATTTTTTCCTTTCTCTCTGGGAATCTTTATTTTTTAAACTCATCCAAGTGGTTCTGGTAAAATCAACCCAGCCCTTTTAGAAGCCACTGGTAACGTAATCCTGAAGGCACTGGAGAGGAATTAAAGATTTTTTTAACGAAAAAGGAAAAAGCAACGATTATAGTTGCAGTGTATCTGTATCACAGATTTTGTGTATTCATGTTATATTCATGTCATAGCTCCTCCTATAATATAGAAGGAGCTTCCAATATTTTAATTAGTTAAGTCACTGTCCTTCTCGTTAGGTCTCAGGCAGCTGCCAGGAGGAACGGCCACATGTATAGCTGCTAGGAGGGAATTTGGGGAGGAAAAAATCTTAATCTCAGAATATCTGGAACATTTCTTCTAATTTAATTAGTAGAATATGGAAATACTTGCCAGGCAGGTAGACGGAAAAAGAAGGGAAGCTATTTTAGAAAATAAGCCCTAAATACATAAGAATTGTAGGAAAAGCGTGTGCGTGTAGAGGACAGCATCCTGTGATGGAATGACTACACATTCCGTTGTTTAAAAATCTCTCTAAAGGCCTTGTAATCCACTGACTTTCTTTCACTCATCCAAACTGACCCCCAAGGGAACTATGTTTCAAAGATTCAATAAACAACAAGGTCCTACTGTAAATAAACAATAAGGTCCTACGGTGTAGCGCAGGGATAAACCATACTGGAAAAGAATATTAAAAAGGATGTATATATGTGTATAACTGAGTCACTTTGCTGAACAGCAGAAATTAACACAACATTGTAAATCAACTATACTTCAATTAAAAAAAAATTCTATAAAGTATCTGCATGAGACTCTGGAAGAGAGGGGCTGCCCCCTAATCCCTTTGCCTGAGGTAACAGAACCACCCTGGACCTTTTAGGTTAGAGAAGAGCGGCCAGGCACTGCCAAGAGCCCAAGAAGACACTGAATCCCACTCACTCCTTAGCGGCCCTTAACATGTTATTTTACTTATATATTCAATCCACATGCCTGATCAACAATATTAATAACTGCGGCAGGGATATTTAGTAATAAAATACAAGATAACCTATTGAGAATTGCCTTGTCGTTTGTTTTTATTGTCATTGATCCATCCATAATGAAAGGAAATTTTTTCCCTTCCCCCAGGACGGAGGCAAGCACCTATTGCTAAGTCCCGGATTCTCCACTGTTTAATTTTGTTAACTGCCTTTGTGTACTAAAAGAGAGGGAAAAGTTTATTGAGTCAAGTTTATTGAGAAACAGAG